AGGTGACACCTGGCCTTCCAGGACCTGCACACAGTGGCAATGCAGACAGCTCTCGGATATGTTAGCCATGCGTGGATTCCCAAAATTAAACTTCACCTCCATAGAGAAGCTGCCATTTCTAGCGGGAGGAAGCTAAGAACCGTGGGGAGTACCTGCTGTGTCTGTTCGTTAGGATCCAGGGGCTTACCTTTCACACGTAAGGTCGACCTGGCTAGTGCCAGGAGACCTCTGCAAAGCACAGGTCCATAGCTGAGTGTGTTTTGAGTCCATTTCTGCAAGCAGCTCCTGGACCCCTGCCCAGTGATGCTGGCACAGAGTGACCAGGAGGAGAGCAGTGTGTGGCATCTCCAGTGCCCCTCCCGCAGGCACAGATCCAATCAAGGATTTTCTGCATCCCGGCCACGTGGCCTCCATCCCTAGTGATAAAGAGCACACGCATGTTACATGCAGTTTCTCACACATGGATCCAGGGCAGTCGCTGGGGCTATGTTTTGTTCCCTTTAGGAGGCATCCAGAAGATGATATAAACAAAGGAAAACGAAGCCATCCATCTTTCCAGTACTTGTTGGCGTGGAGATGCTGTGGGCCAGGAGGAGTGGCTGGAGGAGATTAAATCACACAGGCAGCGATGATTGCTCCACGTATTTCTAGTTAAAAGCCTATGATGTTGCAAACACGAACAACTCTGGGTACTGGCCATTGTAAAAAAAAAATATTAAGATGGACTATGAATAAGGAAACCTGATTTGAATAACTAGAACAGCAGTGAAATAAAGATCACTTGGTTCTCCCAAGAGATTCTGATGGCTTGGACACACTGCACTTTTTGAAATTTGCTAATTTAATATTTGAGGGGCAGTCTTTTTGAGGCATAAACCCACAGGGACAGGAAAAAACAGAGCAAAAGAACCATGTCATTAGTTGGAGCAGAATCTAGAAACATAGAAAAGGGAATTCAAGACTAGTAGAAGAGAACATATAGAAAACCTTAGCAGAGCTACGATCCTGCTGTGAGCTGCAGGGTGGCCTGTGTTGAGGCTGGGGGTCTGCTCCTCTCTGGAGATTCGCATTTCAGGCTCATTTCCACCATCCCAGACTCACAAGGGTGGTTCCCTGTGCCTAAGCTCTGTGCACAGACAATGGTGGGTACTGAAGGCCTGCTTGCCTTCATGGAGTCTGCACTGGCAGGACCAGGTGCCCATGTGAGCAGACTCCAGAAAGAACCCTGAGCACCTGGTCTCTCTCAGGCTCCCCTTGTTGACGTTACTGCACACATGTTGTCACGGCTAGTTGGTGAGGCAGGTAAGTATATCCTGTGTGCCTGCGATGGGAGAGGACTCTGCCCATGCCTGGTTTTGTCTGGACGTGTTCTGTGTCCTTTTCCCATTGCTGATTTTGCTTTGTGTTTCTTCATTCCAATAAATCCCAGTGGGGAGTAGCACCACATAGGTAATCCTATGAATCCTGCATCTACTCACGGAAACAGGAAGTGGTCTTGGGACCCCCCCAACCCATGCAGGATAAGAATCATTTCATTCATACCCTAGACCCAGAGGCCTCTGGGATGAGCAGCCCCGTTTTGCTAGCGACAAAATGAAGTAGAGGGACTTCTCCAGAAACTGTCAGATGCCCCTGGCCCCCTCCCATGCCCCAGGCAACCCAATCTCTGCCCAGGGAAGCCAGGAAGTGCATTGTGTGGAAAGCAAAACAGAGGCCCCCACACCTCCGGGTACTGGACTCCACTGGAAGGGGCTCAGGGGACGGAAGAGGCAGAGTGAGAGAATGACTGTCTGCGGGATACCAGGGGCCCAGCCCCTTGCTCCTTTGGCCCTGTGATCCCTGCTGGTCCAGTCTCCAGCATCCAGGAGCAGAGTCCTGGAGCATCCTCTCCTGGTCCCTGCAGAGCCCAGCAGAAGAAGTGTCAGATCTTTATGGCTTCCTCCATCTGAACAGCACAGCAAGACCCACCATTGCCAACACATTCCTCCTGGATGAGCAGAACTTGCAGTTAAACTTCTGACCCCTCCACTCTGAAAATGAGCACCACACCAAGAATGTGCCAGCATTGGAAGAAGTCATCTCACACGAGAGAGAGCCACACGAGCCAAGAGAAAGCAGCAAGTGGGGGGATAGAGAGCGCTGAAGAGTGAGCCTTGCACTAATTACCATCAGCAGACTCCTGCCAGAGAGGTGCTGCGGCCAGGACAGAGGGGTAGCTTGAATGATGAGATCATCGAGAACCAAGAGGCACAAAATGGCTGTTGAAATGTAGACTCTGACAGAGGAGGTGAAAATCCCAGTAACAGCTCTGGAAGATCATGTTGGCAAATCTTCCAGAAAGCAGAGCAAAAAAGCTGAAGACAGGGAAAATATGAGACAAAAAAGTTGAAAGATGGGTACAGAAGTTTGCATCAATAGCAGGACAACAGACGTTCCAACAAGAAAGAAGAGAAATGGAGAAGAAATCATCAACAATGCCTTCAAGCACATTTCCAAAACAAAAAGCATGGGTCTGTCTGGTAAAAGAGTTCACCAAAATGACTCAAACGTGTGATGCCATTTCAGAACCCTGAAAGGGGGAGAGAAGATCCCAAAGGCTACAGAGAGATTGTTCTGGAAGGTCGCACATAAAGGATTAGAAATCAATTGAAGTTTATACTTCTCAGTGACAAGATTGGGAAATACAATGCATGAGCCATTACACTCAGTTCTAAAGGAAAATTACCCCCAACCTAATATTTCTACGAAACCTTTCATCAAAGTTGAGGGAGCATAAAGATGTTTTAGGTTAATAGCAAAATGTCACTCATCTGCTTGTGAGCACCCTGTTGAGAATGGCACTCAGGAAGGAGGGAGCAGCCCAAACAGAGGAAGAAAGAGAAGAGCGTAGATGTGCAGGGCGATACACACAGCAGTGTTCTAACCAAGCACAGAGGACAGCCAGGCCAGGTGGTGCACAGCCGAGGACTCTCAGATGGATTTCTTCAGGGAGGTGTAATTGGCACAGTTCCTACTGTGTCTGAATACATGATGGGGGTGAATTAACGACAAGTTCATAAAAACCAAACAATAACCATCCAGGAAAGAACAAGAGAGCCAGTGAGGTACACAGGAAGGAAATGCACAGTAGTCAGAAATCGCTCACAGTCTACCACCTCCCTCTCCCCTAATGACAAGAGCGAATGTCACCAAATCCCAGCATGGCAGTACTAGGGTGAGGGGAGATGGGAAGCCTGCAGTGATGGGGCGGACACTGGGGGGCAGTAGAGAGCCGAGTCCTCTGTCCTCATGGTGCACAGTGAGTGAACAAGCCCTACTACCAGAAACTTCAAGTTGTGAGCTCCACAGAGAGAAGTATCAAAGCAGGTCAAAGTGATAGGAACAGGATGTGTCTCTATTGTATAATAAGCTTATATTATAAATAACGTATAATAAAGCTTAGAGGGGCAGCGCTGTGGTGCAGCGGATTAAAGCCCTGGCTTGAAGTGCTGGATCCCATATGGGCACCAATTCTAGTCCCAGCTACTCCTCTTCCAATCCAGCTCTCTGCTATGGCCTGGGAAAGCAGTAGAAGATGGCCCAAGTCCTTGGGCCCCTGCACTGATAGGGAAGACCCGGAGGAGGCTCCTGGCTTCAGATTGGTGCAGCTCTGGCTGTTGCAGCCATCTAGGGAGTGAACCAGCAGATGGAAGACCTCTCTCTGCATCTACTGCTCTCTATAACTCTGTATTTCAAATAAATAAAAATAAATCTTTAAAAAAATAAAGCTTAGAGAGTGACGTAGTTCTTACTTTATTGCTATGCGTAACATTGATGAAGGACATTAAGGGATCAGCTCTGTGGTGTAGAGGGTTAAGGCATCGCTTGCAGGGCTGGCATCCCATACGGGTGTTGGTTTGAGTCCTGGATGTTCAACATCCAATCACACTCTGCTGTGGCCTGGGAAAGCAGCAGAGAATGGCCCAAGTGCTCGGGCCCCTGCACCCACGTGGGAGACCTGGAGGAAGCTCCTGGCGTTGGCCTATCCCAGCCCTGGCTGTTACAGCTATCTAGGGAGTGAACCTGTAGATGGAAAATCTTTCTCCCTCCATACCTCCCTCCCTCCCTCCGCCTCTCTCTCTCGAAGTCTGCCTTTCAAATAAACATTTTTTTAGAAGGCACTAAAATGTTGGCCATGACTCGGTGTGTTAAGCGTTGTGTGTTTCCTTTCTAATGGAACAGCCATTGCTATGCAGTGAAAGATGCACACCCTTGCATTGCTTCTATTAGGCTTTTTCTCTGAAGTCCGAGCCTTTAGACTTCTTGTCAAATACGTCAGGGAGAGCCGCAGGCAGATTTCCATCATCCTACCCCTGGGCGCCACCCTCAGTGGCCACACACACGTGCCCCACGTTCCCGTCTACTCTGCGTGCACCTGCTCGGGGCCCTCCCATCTGTGGTTTCAAGGGACGGATCTGGGTGAGGGAAGGAAGGAGAAACAGACCGGGGAAGTGATGGGAGAACCTGGTGCAGGCTCACAGTACCGTGCATTGTGTCTTCACAAGGGGTCTCAGCCAGTTGAAGGCTCTGAGTCTGATCCCGAGGCTTATATCCATTCATCTTAAGCTGGATTTTATGTAGCCTGAAAAGCAAATCTGCTTCCGTCATTTCAATTTTAATCTTTTAAAGACAACAGCTGGTGTGAGCATCAGAATGAATCAGCATTGCTGTGACATCTCGAATGAGAGTGAGACGATAGTCATGGAATCACTGTTGTTTTCGCCTGCATTTAATGTTTGCTGTCTTGTTCTCATTGCTTACACACAAGAAACCATGCGGATCCCTGTTGGGTAGGAGTGGCACACGCAGCATTCTGTTCAGTGTCTCACTTAACGTTAATGTGTGTTTCATTCTGTGGAGTAGCTGTTGAATGTCTCAGGATCTGAAGTTGTCGGGATCCCCCCGTGAGGTCGCCCAGTGTATGCCTTAGGGTAAAGCACACTGTGTGTTTCCTCTCCCAGGAGTACCAGCCTTGTAACACCAACGCATGCCCCGAGCTGAAGAAGACCACCCCCTGGACCCCCTGGACCCCTGTCAACATCTCTGATAATGGCGGCCACTACGAGCAGCGCTTCCGGTACACGTGCAAAGCCCGCCTGCCCGACCCCAACTTGCTGGAAGTGGGGAGACAGAGGATTGAAATGCGATACTGCTCCAGTGATGGGACCAGCGGCTGCTCCACAGACGGTGAGTGGTGGCCCTGGAGGCTGAGCCACGTTTCCGAGAGCCCTTGATCTCGCGTCTGAGGCTGGAGAAGAGCACGGGGATCTGTCCTGAGGGTGTATGGGCCAGGCATCTTGCTAACAGTGATCCCTGGAGAGCAAGACCGACTTCGCAGCAGACTGAAGGGAAAGGCCCTTCCTGCAGGATTGAGTCGGATGCAGCATCTCCCTTTATCCATGGGGAACACCGTCCTAGAGTCCCAACAGGTGCCTAAAACTACAGGGATCACTGAACTCCATATGCAATCTATATTGCATACATGATAAGGGTAACTGATAGATTTTGCACAGGAAAAGACTGATAATAACTATTTTTTTTCAGATTTATTTTTTATTTGAAAGAGAATCGATCTACCATCTGCTCCATCTGCTGGTTGACCCCACAAATGCACAACAGCCTTGGCTGGGCCAGGCCTAAGCTAGGAGCTGGGAATTCCATCTGGGTTTCCCATGTAGGTGATAGGGGCCCTTATTCTTGGACCATCTTCCACTGCTTTCCTACACACTTTAGCAGGTAGCTGGATTGGAAGGGGCGCAGCCAGGACTTGAACCAGTACACACTGGGGATGCCAACTTAGCCTACTGCTCCACAACACCAGGCCCAACGACTTACAGTTTCATAGCAGGCTGTGTCCCCTCTTGTTTCCTAAGTGACGTCAAAGGAGAGAAGAGAGAACAAACGATGCTCTTTCTCCATCATTAACTTTAGTCTCTTTGAATCTATAACTTGTACTCTTTCCAGCCTCGTCTCTATATAAAATGTTTTAAAAGTTAATAATATAAACTAGGAAAGCTTGGATGCACATTTGTAGGCGATGTCTTCTATTCCCTCCAAAAGCAAATCGTGGACATGACTTTAAAAGCACTTCATCCTTCCTACGTCTTGAGGCCTAATGATCCCCCTCACATTAGGGGATTGATGTCTTAAAAACACAAAGAAGACTTGCTCGCCTCCGACCACCCGAAACGTGGCTTCATCACACATAGCTGCTCTTTACTGACGACTGCAAAATATGGCTTCACACAGAACACACCTACTTCCTGTTCTCTCTAGAGGAGCTGATGGAGTTTCCAAGTGAACAGCCCTGTAGCCCTAACTACACACACCGCTGGGGCTGTTTTCCTACAGCCATGCCTCCCCAGAACTTCCAGCCCTGCCTGAGAGTTGTCTGTTAAAGCTCATGTCACCTCACTGCCTGTGAGCCAACTCCTGATCTTTCCAACACTGAAGAAGGTAGGCATGGGCTGGTGCTGTGGTATAGCCGGTAAAGCCGCCGCCTGCAGTGCCAGCATCCCATATGGATGCTGGTTTATGTCCCAGCTGCTCCACTTTCTATCCAGCTCTGGGAAAGCAGTAGAAGATGGCCCAAGTTCTTCAGTCCCTGCACCCATGTTGGGGACCTGGAAGAAGCTCTGGCTCCCGGCTTCGGATCAGTGCAGCTCTGGCCATTGCAGCCAATTGGAAGAGAACCAGCAGATGCAAGACCTGTTTGTCTGTCTGTCTCTCTCTCCCCATCTCCCCCTCTCCTCTCCCTCCCTCTCTGCCTTTCTGCCTCTCCTCCTTTCTCTGTATAACTCTTTCAAATAAATAAATAAATCTGTTGAAAATTTTTTTAATTAAAAAAATAAAAGAAGGTAGGCGTTTCCTTCTAAGCAAACCCAGAGTCTGACTACGGCTGGTGTGACAGCTGGGCAGGTCCAAGGGTCCAGGCAGAAGTTGGAAGCCTGTTGGCTGTGGTTGCTGCCAGGACACATCTCCCCACCCCACCCCAGCACCCAGGCTGCAGTCCTCATCCTTTGGATTCCTGGGAAAATGCACTTTGCTGGCGTATGGTCTCTGAACGTCACGGGAGTGTTTGGCATTGGGCAAGGTCATTCAGGGGTGTGTTCTGTCCCGGGGCAGGCAGGGCCTTCCGTGACCCAGGAGCAGATAACTGGGTGTCTTGCATCAGTGCCGGCTCAGTCTTGAAAGGGAAACAGGTGCACAAACGAGTGTAGAACATGCCTGAATCCTGTTCCCGTCCTTCCTGGTGAACACCACTGTATTCCCATGAGGAACTTGTAGAATTCCCACAGGAAAGAGGCAGGTGTTATGTCCTGTGTGAAGGAGGTTTCTGCACGGTGTGCCTTTGGCCTGGTGGTTGAGAATCCGATTGGGAGGTTAGGGCACCTGGGCTCCACACCGGCATGCCTGAGTGCAAGCCTGGCTCTGGCTCCTGATGCCAGCTTCCTGCTGTGTAGACCCTGGGAGGCAGCAGGAGAAGGTACAAGTGGTTGGATCTCTGCTGCCCATGTGGGAGACCTGGATTGGATTCTCTGCCCTCGGCTTTGGCCCTGATCCACTTCAGGTGTTGGGAGTGTGCACAGGGGATGGTAACTTCAGTCTCATCTGCTTTTCTCCCCTCCCCTTGTCTGCCTCTCGGAATAAATAAATAAAAACTTTTACAAAGAAATTTCTCCCAAAATAAGCTACAAATACAAGATTTACTGAAGAGGGTAGGGACTTTATGACATTCACAAATGGAATTCATCTGTATGCTCTTATTTAATAGCAACTCCGGGAAAGAAGCTTGAATTGTAAGAGACTGTCACTCAGCGGCAGTGTGTTTTGGCTTCTCAAGTGTGGAAAGGGCTCACCTGAACTTGAGAGGATAATTCTAGAAATCAAGCACAATGCGGCCGACGCCGTGAGCGTGAGCAGGGCCTGCGGTCAGACTAAGAACCAACAGAATCACACGTGGGCTGTTGCCTTGCAGGGCTCTCTGGCGATTTCCTGCGTGCTGGGAGGTACTCTGCCCACACTGTCAACGGCGCGTGGTCAGCCTGGACGTCGTGGTCACAGTGCAGCCGGGACTGCAGCAGGGGCATTCGGAACCGGAAGCGTGTGTGCAACAACCCTGAGCCCAAGTATGGGGGGATGCCTTGCCTAGGCCCATCCCTGGAATACCAGGAGTGCAACATTTTGCCCTGTCCAGGTAAGAGGATTGTGTAATCTGCCACACAAGGTCTTCTGATTTACTGGCTTCCCTCGGCTCCCTGGCTCTGTGTGTGGGGTCTGAGTTCTTAAGAAACATCCTGGGTTGTGTCTTCCCCTGCTGGCTTAACCCAGTGTGGTCTAGGAACAGAAGAAAGAATGGAGGGAGTGTGAGCTGGAAACGCACCCTCTGCAGCTGACTGAAAGCCTCATCCCAAGTCTCTCCAATCAGCATTGAAACTGCCGGTTCAGACAGGCAGGCAGCCCCGGTCTTCTGTGTGCAGAGATCTGATAGCTGGGCTACACTGTGCCTTCCATGGGTGCTGGGCATGTTTGCCTTGGAAACCCCTTCCTCTGTAATGCTCGATGTAGAGACAGATACAATCTATCCTGGATTGCATTGCATTGCATTGCATTGCGTTGCGTTGGATTCGATTTGATTCCGTTCCATTCTATTCTATTCTATTCTATTCTATTCTATTCTATTCTATTCTATTCCATTCCATTCCATTCCATTCCATTCCATTCCATTCCATTCCATTCCATTCTATTCTGAGTTTAAAAGAAACGGAAGCATTCCCGCGAGCCTGTGTAAGGACCGTAGGCACTACGCCCTGAGCCTCCAGAAGGTGTCAGCCCCCATGACCTGGTGTGGAGCGATGTGCGGATCCCTGAAATTAGCATCCACTACCTTCCGGGGGCTGCTGCTTCCCGGGAGTCCAGTGGACCCAGCCCTCCTCACACGGCTCCATCCATACCACATCCTCCAGCGTCACCTGTGTAGTGAGACTCTCACAGGAGCCCACCAAGCTGTTTCCCTAGTCCTATTGTGTGTGCTGTCCCTAGGGTCCAGCTCATGAATTAAGTCCTCCAAAGATATGTCCTCATCTCCACTGGAGGCCTGGAAAAGGTCTGGCTCTGCCTCCTCACACCCTGCTTTCCATCCCCCCAACTCCCCAGACAAGCAGAGGGTTATTAAGATGAGCTAAGGGAGCCCCTACCCAGGACTTCAGTCTGCGTAGAGGTTCCAGGAGAGCCGGGCTCCTGAGGTGGTGTCACTGCAGGGCTTAGCATGGAAATCCCTATTCGAGTTGTTTCCTGAGTGGTGAGTAAAGCAGTTACTTGATCTTCCTTCCTTCATTGCATTTTTAGCAAACTTTTTTTAATTTTTCATTTATTTAAATATTTATATTATTTTGTTTTTTATTTTTATTGACAAACAGTAATTGCACATAGTTATGGTCAATGTAATTTTTCGATACATACATACATTTTAATGATTTTAGGATAATTAGCATCCAATGCTTCATACATTCAAGGTTCCTTTGTAGTGTGTACATTCAGAAGTCTTTCGTCTAGCCATTTAGACAAGTACAGTATGTTATTGGTAACTGTTATTACCCCACTGTGCAACAGAACACCAACAGGGTTGTTTTTACAATAAGGGAAGAAAGTACTTTTTTTAATTCAATAAAATAAACCTTTCTTAGATTTGACTTATCTATATATTTTTTGAGGGAGTTAACTTTGGAGAAGAACCCCAGGATGGTGCATCTTCTGCGAGCACTTAGACATTACTGTAGCTTATGATACACAGACGATGTCCTCCACCTGATCGCAAAGATCTACCTTGCTTTAATTCATCAAGTTTTACTATTAACTCTCCTAATCCTACTCTATGCGGACAGAGGTCCCACATGGGTAGTAAGTGCACAGTGATTTCTGCCGTTAATTAAACAATTAACACTCCTGTGTATGACATCAGTGATCGCCCAAGGCTCTTGACTTGAGATGCCTAGGCTATGGAAGCCTTTTGAATCTACTGTCTCCTTCGTATTTAGACAGGGCCATGGGCAAAGTGGGAGTTCTGTCCTCCCTTCAGAGAGAAGTACCTCCTTCTTTGATGACCACTTATTTCCACTGGGGTCTTACCCACTTAAGTCCTTCATGGGGGACACTTTTTGCCACAGTGTTTTGGCTTTCCATGCCTGCAGACGTCTTTTGATATCTCACTGCGCACTGTTCCCAGGGTGAATAAAGCTGCATTGCCAGGGTCCAGATCAGAAAGTAGCGTGAAATCCCTCAGGCATCCAGTGTGGCCACTCACTCACTACTGAGTCGTCGACAGTAAAGCACAGTGGTCATAGTGGCCAAGGACCCATCGGGCCAGCCCTCTGGACTCATGGCAGCCACACCAAGCTGCCTGTCCCTGGGTTGTGTCTTGAGTGACAGACAAGAGTTGGTCAAGTAGACAAGCAGGGACAGGAAATGGGAGACACTGCACCCATTGGGCACAGTATTTTAAAACATGGGATCTTAGCATCTTTTCCAGCAGACACAACCATCTTTCTAATTTCCTTGGCCAAGAAACTGGCTTGCAGGAGGTGCTCAACAAGCATTTTGTCAGGTGGGCGGATGGCCTGACAGATGTGTGGATGGATGGCTAAGCACGTACGTACGAGTGAAAATACACAGTTCCCTGCTCTGTGACTGACGCTCCGCACAGTGTCCCCATTCTTACAGCCACCCTCCTCCTGTATCCCTGCCTGAATTCCTCCACCCTCCTCTGCCCACCCAGCCTTCCCAGTCAAGCTGCGGCCGAGGCTGGGAAAGGTCACGGAGCTGTTCTTTCCCACAGCCCCAGTGGGAGGATTCTTCCCCTGGAGGGTGGGAGGGAGTCTGTGGGCGACATTGCTAGATTAAACTGAAGCCATGGGAATTCAGGATCCCTCGCGCTCTCGTCCGCCCTGGCTCCAGACTCCGTTCCTCGTGGCCATTGTGAGAAAGTGCAGATTCCCCAGATGTGAGGATGCTTCCCCGGTCCCTGAGTGTGGAGGTCACCCACTGTCCCTCTCGGAGGCATCCCAGTCATGAGCTTGTTGATTGCTTTTATGTTGGCTGATCTGGTGGGCAGGTCAGGACTGTGTATGCATAACCTCAGCGTCTTGAAATAGCAATATTCTCATTCTTGGTGAAAGCCGAGATTCCATAGAGTGTTGGAGAATTATTCAGGGTGGCCAATGGCACTTTCCACCAGGGAGTGGGCGTGTTCAGGGCTACAAATACCAGCCCTCCCCCCCCTCCTGGAAGATTCCTGCACAGATAAGAGTGCAGCTCGGCACGCGGGGGTGGGAAGCCCACCCGTGCCTGGATGCCAGACAGAACAGCCATCAGGAGGGCTGTTTTCACCTCTTTTAGGACTGTGGATTTATACTTTTTAACCCTGTTGGGTTCACAGTAGACAATTACAAATGGGCACTGTGGGTTTTTTATATTTCATTACAGTTATGTATAATGTAAAATCTAAACAAAATACACAAATGTGAAATTCCCTTCAGTTAATCCCTGAAACAACTGGATCCCTCATTCTGAACTGCTTTGTAAACTGCAGTGAGGAGTCAAAGTCAAGTCCATGCTGAAGTAAGCGTTTCTGCTTCTCCTTCATGTTTATCTAACTGGTACCTCACCTTCCTAATGTCCCTCCAGCATTGGAAACACCCGTTGTTTTCTCTCCTCCGCGTTGCATGTGTGATTAAGCACTGGAGACTCTAGACCTTGACCGAAGCAGCAGAGAAAGCAGATGGCTTTGTTGTTAAGGAACATCCAAATAAAATAAAATGCAGGCAGTCTTAGGCTTTACTTAGGCCGCATCAAACCTAACACAGAAAACAATTTTTTTTATCAGCTCTTACCTAAGAGGCTCCACTTCTTGATTCTGCAGACAGCAGTGAAGAATTAGGAACCTTGAGAATCTCATGGAGGGGCAGCGTCTGACTCAAAAAGAGGGGGTTATGGCAGGGCTGTGTTCACACGGGTCTGCTGGACACCATGCCCTCTGTCTCAGCTGCTGGACCACAGTGCCCGAGACTGGGTCAGGGATACAGAACAGAAAATGATTTTGCTGTGTCTCCTGGGGCTTAGGGAGTCTGTGAGCATCCGGCAAGAGCCCGTGTGCTGCATCATCACGTGGCAGAAGGTGGAGGGGCCGGGGGGCCCAGTTCCCTCTTGTCACAAATCTATTGCCCAGACTACCCCACTCCCGATGACAGTAATGCCGTCCTGAGCACTCCTGCCCCGTCCACCTCTCAGAGTGCTCCTCGCAGCACTGTTGCATCGAGCCCGAGGAGGACACATTCAGACAGAGCAGGCAGCTGTCAGTGCTAAAACACCGTGGGCCTTTCTGTCTGTGGGATCCTGGTGTCCACACTTGGAGGGAGGATTTGGTGCAGGAAAATGCTGCTCAGAGGTCCTTGGAAAAGGAGAGAGTGCAGCCTCCTCAGTGCCTGTGGAATCGACACCACCTGTACCCCTGTCCTGGGGGAGGACCAGTGTGGCCCCTGCCATCTCTGACCATGCACAGCATGCCTGACACACAGAGTTAGTCCCTTAGATCTCTGGTCATTTTCTTGGTTGGACTTTAATGGACAGAGTATTTAGCTAGAATTCCTAGGACAAGAATTTTTTTTTTTTTTTGCCTCTTTTAGTGACTTAATCTGCGTATTTCATTTGCTCAGAAGTGACTACCGACAATTGCTGTGGTCCATGAGAGACGTGGGGCTGAGCCTCAGTGTGTCTGCGTGGTCTTGCCATGAACCGCTCTTGCTTAGGCTTAGTTAGATGGGGTTCAGGCTGAGAAGAGGTCCCTGTGTGATTTTTAGCAGCATGGCAGGAGTAATGTGAAGCCCTGAGCTGTGGGATGCATTCAGACTGCCAGCGTCCTATTCCCCACTCTGCCCCCAACCTCTCTGGGCTATGGGTCCTTCCTCTCTAGAACATTCTCCAGGGTGGCTGGGGGGACAAGGCAGAATATAGATGAGTCTGATAATTATTATTCTTATAGTAACTGATGCCATTTTATTTGTCCAGCGTAGTTCACATGGCAGAGAAGAGCAAACTTAGACACTGGCCTGACTTCATCCCCTGGTGGCTTTGCCTCTCTCAGGAGTTCAGTTTTTGTTCCCAGGAGCCTGCAACGTCTGCTCCCTCACAGTGAACGCTGTTTTGTGAGGCTTTGCATTCTGTAATTTCTGCTTCAGAAATACTTGGGTCTTCCGGATGTTGTCAGTTTTATGATTCCCAGCATCCTTTACTTCTCCGGAACAAGCTACCATTCCCCTCATCTCCCCTCCCTTCTATCAGACTATTAGGACGGGAATGGGGATGGATTAGAACTTGTCTGGGGTCATGGCACAGTTACGGACGGACCCATGCACCTGCCTGGCACAGCAGTGATGTGGTTCAAATTCTCCTTGGCATTCTGTTTGTACTGGAAGCTTCTGTTTCCCCATTCTTAGAGCACAGGTAGGAAGGTTTCTGCAGTGGGATTGTGTCACAGATGGTCCCCCCAAGTCTCCACATTTCAGACAAGAGCTGTATTCTTCCTGGTACAGGACACGCGATCCTGTGCCAGGGGACTTTATCATGGGTGCGTGGGGGGCTTACTAAGCTTGATGAGGTGTGAGTCGGCGTGTTGGCTGAGACGTGGAGAGGAAGGCGCACTGTCTGAAGAGCCGTGCAGTGGGTTGTGGACGTCGTCAGAGCCTCGTGGATGCAGAAGAGCAGAATGAGTGCAGAGAAGCATCTGTAGTTTTCGGGTTTGGTTTTGTTCATTTGTTTCTGCTGTGGAAAGAACACTTAATAGGAATTAATTCTCTTCACAGGTGTTTAAGTGCACAATGCACGATTGTTAACTACAGGCACAGTGCTATTGGTGCATACCTTTAACTCTTAATCATGTTGGGTAACGGGACCTTGACACCAGCTGAACAGCCAGCCCCATCTCCTCCTCCCCTGCGCCTGGCAGCCACCATCCTACTGTGTTTCTGTGAATCTGTTGACTTGAGATAGCTCAGGCAAGTGGAATGATGCAGCATCTGTCTCTCTGGGACTGCTGATTTCATTTAGCAGAGACTCTCCCCCAGGGTTATCTCTGCTGTTCCGAGTGTCAGGATCTCCTTCTCCAAGGCTGAATAATGTTCCACTTTGTTTTTTCTTTGACCCGTCATCTCTTAGTGGATACTTGGGTTGTTTCTGTGTATTGGCTACGGTCGATGTTGCTGCAGTGAACTTGGGGACGCCACAGAGTCTCTGCAGATCCTGAGTTCAGTCCTTCTGGATGCAGATCCAGCTGTGGGCTGGCTGGGTTGCACAGTAATTAAATTTTTAATTTTCTGAGGAACCTGCTGTTTTTCATAGACGCTGCACCATTTTTACATTTTCATCAGTGGTTCACAGGGGGGTCCAGTCTCTCTGCACCCTGGCCAGCACCTGCCTTTGGTCTTTCTGGTAGCAGCCCTGAGGACGGCTGCTGCTGACCATCTTTTTTTTTCTTTTTTTTTTTTTTTTTGACAGGCAGAGTGGACAGTGAGAGAGAGAGACAGAGAGAAAGGTCTTCCTTGGCTGTTGGTTCACCCTCCAATGGCCGGCGCGGCCGGCGTGCTGCAGCCAGCGCACCGCACTGATCTGATGGCAGGAGCCAGGTACTTATCCTGGTCTCCCATGGGGTACAGGGCCCAAGTACTTGGGCCATCCTCCACTGCACTCCCTGGCCACAGCAGAGAGCTGGCCTGGAAGAGGGGCAACCGGGACAGAATCCGGGCCCCGGCCGGAACTAGAACCCGGTGTGCTGGCGCCGCAAGGCAGAGGATTAGCCTAGTGAGCTGCGGCGCCAGCCGACCGTCTTTTCACACACCTGCTTTCCTGCACCTGAGAGCCAATCGTGCCACACAGAAGTCATGGATGGGCAGAGCCCGTGGTCAGTCCTGAGTCAGGCTCCAACACCCTCTGGAGGACATGTTAGCCCCCCAAGCCCAGCAGGCCTGGTGCACATTCCGACAGCCAAGCTCTGTGACACCTGCTGTTCTGAGGCAGGGAGTTGCCTGTGACTCAGTGTGTGTACAAAGACACCCAAAGAAGACCCAGGTTTCAACTCAGATTACAGACAGAAAGCAAATGCTTCCCCCACTGGGTGCAGATATGGGAGAGAGACTGAGAATTTTAAAGTTCTAGGCCAACACATGCCTGTCTTTTTACTGTGGGTACTCCAACCACTGTCAGATACCTGACTGACCCCTGTAACTTTCTGACATACTTTGTAGCTACTGGGGAAAATGTTCTTAAATTCTGCAAGTTTATATAAAATCACAACTTTTTAAATAAAATCACAAAATTTCCAGTTAAAGCTTATTTCTCCATTGGGTTCAAATAGTTGCATTTTGCTTTCCCTATTTGGAAATTCAGATATCATCATAAAGATGATGGTTTTACTCATGCTTCTCAAAAATGGCTTATTTTTACCTGTGCCGCTCTCTAAAGAGAAATAGTACTCCACAAAGATACACCGTGGCGGATGTTTGCAAGGTGATCGAACTTATTCGAACCAAAGCAACCTTGTGTCCTGAACAATTCCGGCATTCCCCGTCATGATTGCTTTTCTTTCTTTATTTAGGACATAGAGAAAATTAAATATGCCACTGCCTATATTTAGTATTAGTTTCTCATCAGCTTAATTTAGCCATGGCTGTGATTGGCTTTGTCCCCTGGTTAGGATGGAGTGCCGCCTTTGACAGCACCTGCTAGCGTTGCTCTAGACCTCAGCAGTAGGAGAGCAGGGCTGGCCAGCAGCAGCAAAGCTCAGACTGGCATCAGTGAAACAGCAAATCTGCCCGGACAGTGTCACAAACCCCCACCAACGTGAGAGCGGAGTTTGAGCAGTGTCAGCTAACACAGTCCAGAGCACTGAGGTGCCCCACATCCAAGCAAGCAAGTGGACTCCATCCCTCAGGAGTCTGGGCCACCAACATCAGGAGCCCAGCACTGAAGAGAGGCAGACAATGTGGGCAGACCAAGAGTGCCCTGGGCCAGGGGTCCTCATGGAAACACTAGTCCAGGAATCTGCACCCTTAATGTCAACCCAGGGTGTGGCTGATGTCATCAGATCCCTCTCTTTAGTTGAAACACCATCCAGGCTTTGATTTGGTACTTTGTTTGTGCCTGAATTCACCAACATTCTTCACATCATTACCTGTTTCCTGGAATTTAGGAGCTTTCCTGAGTCCCGAGGAGGAGACGGTAGTCCGGGGGTAAGGAAGGCTGCGGCTTGACTGGTCCTGGGAGTACGACTTGCCTGGCCAACTAGACTGTGCAGGAGTAAAGTGAGAGCTAGGTCAGGGCTTCACCCTGTTAACCACACGACGCGGGGACTGGGAGTTTGTATCAAATGTGGACATCAGACTCCTCGTTATCCTTGTGCATGAGTACTTTGTGTTTAGAAGCCTTTTCTGAAAGACTGAATAGAGGTAACTGAGTAGGTGGAGTGGAGAACCTGCAAAATTGGTTCTCAGTGTCCCCTTTCTGGCCAGTATCCCTGCTGTGATGGCATCGACGCATTTGCATAGTGCAGGTTCTATCTGCAGCTGCACCAGACTGGCTCCATCCGGATTTCATAAGTGCTGTGACTTTGTGCCCCCCCCCCCCAGTGGACGGCATGTGGTCCTGCTGGTCCTCCTGGTCACAGTGCTCAGCAACGTGCGGCGGCGGACACTACATGAGGACCCGGTCGTGCACAAACCCAGCCCCTGCCTACGGAGGAGACATCTGCCTGGGGCTGCACACCGAAGAGGCCCTCTGCAACACACAGCCCTGCCCAGGTGAGCTGCGCCTGGCTTCTCCCGGGCTTTGGGACAGACTTGCTCTTTCCTTAACTTGATATGAAATCCTGGACACCGTATCATGGTTAATACTCAAAGTGGGGAAGAAACCAGCCCCCACTGTATCACTCTCGATGCGGCTTCAAAACGCAATGCCGTACCATAAAATAGGTCTCATCTTGCCTTTATCACATCAGTGAGAGACAGTACATATTATATTGTAATATCCAAACTACCTGATTAGGATGCTTTGGCCTCGACCTTGCTGATTGTCACTAATGACTCACAGGCCACCCCTTGCTGCGTTGCGGGAGAAAGAAGAAACAAGGATCTGTGGTCTCCTGCTTAAGTCTGGAGCCTCTATGAGAGGAAGCACCCACAGCCCACCCAGACTCAGCCACAGCACCCCAGGCTGTGCACCAGGAATGACTTCCACATTTTTAAATGGGAACACCAGGCATGCTTGGAGGGTACTTCCTCCAAGGTCAATGGGCTACGATCCTGAGATTGTGTGATTAGGGAGAAAAAAAATTAGGGGGGGAGCAGGGAGCATGATATTCAATCAGTAGGCAAAGGAGCAAGGCAAAGCAAGCCGCAGCAGCTGATTATTAACAAAACATCCTTAAATATGCAAATATATAAGCTGATAACATCTGAGATTTTGTTGTTGAAAATCAGGGAACCACAGACAACCCTTGCAAAATGCACTTCACCTTGGGGGATAGGTTTGAGGGTGCAGGTGTGGGAGCTCCAAGCTCCAGACTCCAGGACTAATGCACCCCAAGGATGCATGGCGGGAGGCTTCCCATCCAAGAAGTAGCTTGGTTTTACTGCATGGAGGGACCATTTGGAAGAAAAATGAACCATTCGTTTCTGGGTCTAGTTTTGACATTGAACAACCCCTACATTTTTTGTTAAACTTTCTCCTGCAGATCTTTCTAGAAGGTTCCATTCATATGGAGCAGGAGCTTGAAACCAGATTCCCCAAGTCATTCCCCTAAACTGATGGTTAACACATTCCCAAGGAAAAGATGCTCCCTTTACCTGGAAATAGGCAAAAGTTTCCAACTTTTCCCCCTTTTCCCTGACCCTACAAAAGTGATGCATCAACTTAAAAAGGGGCAGAAAGCAAACTGCATAGAAACGGATCTTTGCTCTGTTGGCTAATATTTCATGAATAAAATTGAGGGTTATTCCTTTCCTTTGACGCATCTGTGTGCCTGGGTGACTGTCACACTTCCCAGTGGCCTTCTCCGTCAGGGTGAGGTGACTTTGCACCCTGTGTTGACCTTATGCTCCTGTGACTGCACCCCGAGAGCAAATGAACTGTCCCCCATGGATTGCCCGACTGTGGGGTATCCAGCCTGCAGAACGGTGCTGATGATGGACGAGAAAGTGCTGAGGGTAGCTTCCGGCTCCTGTTTCACATGAACACACACTTTTTTCTCTTGCCTGGGCAGAGGCCTGTGGGGACTTTCTGGGATAGCGATGACAGAGCACCGCCGTGCCCAGGGAAGTGTTGCCCTGTAAGAAATGCAGTCCACGTGGATGGTTTCTGGCCCCCACGACGGATAGTCTATGCACAGCTGGCCCTCATGGACTAACATTCGGTGTCTAAATACAGATACTTCATAGCACTGAAATAACACAGTTCTTAGAAAATTTATTTTAAGCACGTTATATACTGGTATATTATCAGTTACACCAGTACTTTAATTCATCCTCAACTGTATTTTACTTATTGGCCTGGTCAGAAGCTACAGCCATGGCTTATTTATGTACAGAGCCATTAACCACGTAACGTGAAGTTTGGAGCAGTGCCTGTAACTTGGCAGTGCCTCGGGCTGATTGGCCTCCGTGATCGCCCATCTCCCCCTTTCTCGTCACTGTAGAGAGCTGGTCCGAGTGGTCAGACTGGACCATGTGCGATGCGTCCGGAATCCAGATCCGCGCCCGCCAGTGCATCCTCCTATTCCCCGTGGGCAGCCAGTGTTCGGGAAATGCTACTGAGAGCCGGCCATGCGTTTTTGACTCCAATTTCATCCCAGGTAAGGCAGAGAGGCTAATCAGTGTGAACAAAACCATTTCCAGCATGCACAGAGAAAGTGACTCATAGGTCAGTTGAGGCTGTATTAGGTGAAATAGAGATGAGTTTGGCAGCTCTTACAGGTTTGTTGTGATTACAGTGTAGATGCAGTTTCAGACTTGACTTCATGAGTTTCAAACATTTTTAAAATATTTATTTATTTGAATGAGTTGCAGAGAGAGAGAGAGTAAAAGGGAAAGAGGTCTTCTGTCCGCTGGTTCATTCTCCAGGTAGCCTCAACACCAGGCCAAAGCCAGGAGCTTCTTCCAGGTCTCCCATGTGGGCAGCAGGGGCCCAAGCACTTGGGCCACCCTTTGCTGCTTTCTCGGGCGCATTTGCAGAGAGCAGGATCAGAAGTGGAGCAGCTGGAGCACGAGCCACTGCCCATATGGGATGCTGACACTGCAGGTGGCAACTTTACCTGCTACACCACAACACCAGCCCCCATGAGTTTCAAAATTTTAAGCACAATTTCTTCGATAATCTGTTGACTCGACTATGGTCAGAAGATTTTGCTTTGGTTGTTTTAATATTGGGTTAAATGTTTGGCAATGTGCTTTATTACATGCAGTGATAAAGGATCATTCTCTTTAGGCACTTTTATTATATCTGATAAATGAAAATCCATCATTATTCTTAACTTCGAGAAGAGATTAGTTGGCCCTCTTGCCTCTGGCTTTGTCATGTGAAGTCATTGCTGAGCAGTGAGTGACAGCTAGGGAACCGTGTCCAGCCCACTGCAGACTCAGCTCTGCAAAGTGGAGAGACCACGTGCCCACTGTGTGCCTCAGGACTGTGATACAGAGTCCAGTTCTATGAGCCATGTGTTCTTTCTTTTCCTCCATTTGTTGAAAATATATTTTAGAGAAAATATCAGCTAGAGCCTTATGGGGCATCATGCTCATATATGATGGGGCCCTTAACAGTGTTTGTTTAGCCATAGACACATTTTAAATTCTTGTTTCCTAATGAGCACTCACAGCAGAAGAGAATACTGATTCCAGACTCCTGGCATGGCATTTCAGCCTTAGGAGTCCAACACTTGGAGGTGTGTCCTCACAGCGTCTTCCATGGGGTTTTCATGCTCACAGCAGGGAGCATGAATGGACTCCTGGGTGGTGACTGTTTGCTGGGTGATTTCCTTTGAGCTGTGATGAACGGCTCACCCCGCTGCAGGGAATGTGACAGTACTGACTTTGATGAAACAAAGTATCTGAGGCAGAAACTACAGGCAAACACGGTCGTGTCCCCCCCACACACACCCCCCCCCCCGCCCATGGCAGGATACAGTGTGAGCCAAAGCATCTTGCTTCTATGGTAACCAGTTTCACTTCTTCCAGTCATGGTGGCTTGACCAAAATCCATGGCAGGCTGTTTAAAACGTTGACATTTGTACTCTGATAAAATGCAAAATCATTAGATGTTTGGTGAACGAATCATGAATGTGAACTTTCTTCCCGTTGACTTTTACAAATTTTGATTGGATTTTGTGTTTCCAGAAGTATCTGTGGCTAGATCCAGCAGCGTAGAAGAGAAAAGATGTGGAGGTAAGTTCTTCCTTTTACGTCATTTCTAATGGCTATCCTGATATATTCTAATCACTTTTCCATTATATTTCTGTTGTCCAAGGATGCTGCACTGTGGAAACTCCTGGGTCCCCAGAGAGTGATACACAAACAGCGTTCACCTTGGGATAAATGGCAGCGGTCCATATTTGTTATGTGAATCAGTGGTCAGATTCCAAGACTTGGTATTGGTGCCAGGTAGATATCCCATGAGTAAAAGAGACGGCAAATCATTTTGTTTGGACTTACAATGCAAATACTGGGTAGCTAGGCTCCAGTTTCCAGCCCCGTGGAATGATTCCATTGTCCTGGGCATAGGTTCTATCTGTACCATGCCAGGGATGTTTCCAGCTTTGCCACCCTGGATATCACAAGTCTGGTTCTATGGTTCATGTCCGTCCATGATAAATGTAGACTTTACAGTCTGCCTTCCAAAGGTATGCCCATAAAGTGCTTGCCTGAATTGTGCTGAACTGTGAACACGCCCAGATGGAGGGGCTCCCTGTGCAGTGCCCAGAGCACGGTCATGTCCACTTTTCATGGTGTGAACCAGGATCCACAGCCCTCTCCTCCTATAACCCTTCCCCCCAGGGAGTCCCAGAGACCTCAGCCCAACAGATCTCGGTCTCCGCCTTTGTTTCATGTGGAACCTGGAGTTCTTTGAGTGTTAAGAATCACTGACCGGGGTGAACTACACTGAGCTCTACCTGATCCATTCTGTTTGATGAGCCATCTGTTAGTCCATCCATCATCCATCCATCCATTCTTTCATTCAGTAATCTTTGCTGAACACCCACTCTGCACCTGTGTGTTTTTGAAAGGCGGAGTGACAGGACGGGGGAGAGGGAGAGGGAGGAGGTCTTCCATCTACTGATTCTCTCCCCTCAATGCCTACAACAGCCAGGACTAAACCAGGATGAAGCCAGGAGCCTAGAACTCCACCTGGGTCTGCCATGTGGGTGGCAGGGACCTGAGCACATTAGCAGGAAGCTGGATGGTGGGACTCTGTCCCACTCTGATAAGGGATGCAGCGCCCAGCTCACTGTGCCACAGTGCCCAACCCAACCCCTGCCAGTTTGGCCCCTCCAGCCCCAGCCCCAACAGTCACATGGGGAGAGACCCTTGCACCCGAGAGGCAGCACCTAGGACCTGACTTGGTTTAGTTCAGTGACTTAAGTGACACAGTTGCTTTGTAGACTCTATTTTTCACATGTGTTTTCATCCTGTAGCTAATCAGTGATAATCTGTTAATGTTTTTCATCCAGTCACTTACCAGTCACTGTTAAATGCTTTGTGTCCCACCTGGTCCTTACAAAGAGCATTCACAAAGCTGCGGAGGTCTGTAGATTTTTACGTGAACTCCTTGGAGAGGGAGAAGGGGGTTGCAGCTTGTTTTTCAGATCAGAGAGGTGCGGTGAGGCTCTATATCGCATCACACACCTGCAGGCTCCATGGCTGCTCTCCTCTCTGCCATGGGATGTGAGCTAAGTAAAGATGTGGTCCTGATCCCCAGCTCAGCTCAGGCTTGGCAGCAGTGTGGGTCAGTCCAGGTCACATTTTCCTGCCTGATATCGATGAAAACTAACTGTTCAGGGCTTCTGCATTTGGAGACAAGGAGTGGTGGCTGTGTAGTTTAATGTGCATTTTTGAAATGAGGACTGAGAGACTCAGGGGTGATCCCTGGCCCAAGTTCACACAGGTCCTACAAAATGCAGACAGGGATGGGATTCTAGAGGTGGAATCCAGGCAAATTTTAATCCCAAACACCCTAGGCAATGGTTCTGGAAGTAAAGTATCTGGGGATTGCGTCCAGCAGCCCTGGCTAGGAATCATTGCCCTCGGGGTATCCAGGGCTTGGAACGCGTGGAGGCAGTGGAGGTCAGGAGTGGAGCAGTGTTTGTAAGGAGTGCTGCATCCATGTGGAGGCCAAGGCAGAAACTGGGGCAGATGATGGGGGCCTCAGCAGAGCTGACTGCCCATCCATGCCTTCTGCCAGAGGCTGACCATTCAAGGCACCTCAAGGCCGCCCTGGGTTATGCTGGGAGAGGTACAAAGCCCAGTCCCATTCTTTTTTTTTTTTTTGGACAGGCAGAGTTAGAGAGAGAGAGAAAGGTCTCCAAAGCCAGGAGCCAGGTGCTTCCTCCTGGTCTCCCATGGGGTGCAGGGCCCAGGCACTTGGGCCATCCTCCACTGCACTCCCTGGCCACAGCAGAGAGCTGGCCTGGAAGAGGGGCAACCGGGACAGAATCCGGCGCCCAGACCAGGACTAGAACCCAGGGTGCCGGCGCTGCAGGTGGAGGATTAGCCTAGTGAGCCGTGGCGCCGGCCAAGGAATCAGAATTTCTACAATAAATCAGACAACCCTCCTGGGTAAGCAGTCTCTATTCTAGCTTGTTGACCAAAACAGCAGCAGCAAAGCACACGCAGAGGAAAGAGCCACACTAAGACGACTCTGATGAGACCTAACAGGCAGTATTTTTTCCTCTGTAGAAAAATGTGCTCCCACTGAAAAATTTCAACTTAGCTATTTTTAGTTGCGGGAGACACAAAGACTATATAACCGTCATAAAGATGTCAGCTGCCCCAGCCTTCCCCAGGCACCTGCAGGAGTGATTCATTTGACTAATGACAAAGTATCTGCATATGGAGACCTTCATATATCTTCCCTGTGTGAAAATACGAGTGATCAGTGCAGCAGGAAGTATTTTTATCAGTGCGTGGCGCTGACCCTGGGGAGTCCTCACAGCCACAGTACAGAGTTGAGAACTGGTGTGAGGTCGGTGCTGGTGGATCTCAGTGCAGCTCCAGTGTCACAGTAACAGATCCTGGTGGCTGCTGATGGAATGGCCCCAGGACGCTTTGTCCAAATGTCACAGTTGGGAAATGACAAAAACTTCTGATGTTTAAAGACTTATTTGAAATACAGAGTCAGGGAGAAGGAGATCTCCCATCTACTGATTCACCCCCTAAGAACAGCAACTTCTGGGGCTGAGCCAAGCCATAGCCAAGTGCCAGGGACTCCATCCAGGTCTCTCCCAGGGGTGGCAGGTATTTGGTTCATCACCCGCTGTTTCTGAGTCCTGGCTGTTGTAGGCATTTGGGGAGAGAATCAGTAGATGGAAGACCTCCTTCTCCCTCTCCCTTTCATTCCCTCCCTGTCACTCTGCCTTTCAAAACACACAGGTGCAGAGTGAGTGTTCATCAAAGATTACTGAAGGAAAGAATGAATGGATGGGTAGACTCACAGATGGCTCATCAAACAGAATGGATCAGGCAGAGCTCAGTACAGTTCATACCGGCCAGTGATTCGTATAACACACACACAGCTCCAGATTCCACATGAAACAAAAGCAGAGACCAAGCTGGATTGAGTCAGTGGAGCCAGAACTCACACTGGCTCCCTGATCCGGGATGCAGGCCTTCCAAACTGCAGCTTAACCCTTTACACCACAACCCCTTCCACCCATATTTTCATAGCATGACCAAATCTGCTAGAATCTCAGGGAAATAGTTATGGAATATTCTAGTAATGTCCATCTAGACTGTCCAGACCTTAATGCGAGGTACAGTGGACCCCCACAGGAGGAGTTGCCATGTTCACTTGGAATGTCAGGGTTCTGATCGATTGACAGCCACCTGCCTCGGGATTGCTGTTAATCAAAGTGTCCATCTGCCCGGGAGGTGGATCCATCCACAGCCCGGGAATCCCAGGATGCGGTGTCTGGAAGGAAAGCTCAGGGCTTAGGGGCCGAGGAGGGGCTGGTCGACCCCATCAAGTATGGCAGGAGGGCTGGCATCTCCCTGGCCTCTGCCACCTCTCCCTGCAGGCCAGGCCCTGGGCTCACACTCTGAACAGTGACTGACTGTCAGAGCCCCGCAGGGAATGGACGGGAGGTCAGGACAGACCTGGATCCTCCTCGACCGTTTGTTCCCCGGGGCCAGGCCAGCTCCCCCGGCGCCCGTGCTGAAGCCCAACAGCATCTGCAGGCTCCTGCTTGGGTCACGGTTGACAGAAGAGGACAGGGCATCAGGTGACACTGCACCTGCTTGCACCCATGGAAGAGAGCTGGTGTCCAGGAATGGCTCGTGGCACAGAGCCATAATGGCACAGCAGCCGCAAGGCTGTGCTGAGTGCTGCCCTCGGTCCAGAAGGCTTAGTTTGACCAGTGTTTTGCCAACACAGGATGGTGCGCTGGTTGTTGTTCCTGCTGCGGTTTCTCAGACACCCTGCAGGTCTTGGTGTCACTCAAGCCAATCCTATTTCACAGACAGACATCTGTGTCAGCAGTGTCTGAATGTTTTGCGTTCCTGTCTCAAGGAAAATAAGTGGAAGATACAGAATAGATGCTAACAAATAGAAAGAAGAGAGTCATGTTATGACCACTTAAAAGATATTTTACTCCTTTAACACAAACCCTTTTTTCTCATTAAAATCTCCAAAATACAATGCCAGTGGAAAAGTAATACAGAGGATAATATGTATGCCCACGCACCCATCAGGGGTCTTCAGAAAGTTCATGGGAAATGTGTATTAGGAAGAAACTATGCATGTTTTCATGATTTTATGATTTCAAAAGTTGTTTGCGTCAAAACAAACTCAACTTCTAATTCTATTTTCCCACGGAGAGTGAGCAGCAGAGTGTCTCTGGCAGGGCACAGAGGAAATTGTCTATCCCAGTTACCTCCACGAAGGAACAAAGACTTATTTTCCCTTTTGCACTTTGCTGTGTTATGTAATGCATGCGTATTCATGGTCACACATGTAAAACATTTCTACATAAAAGGAAGTAACCACAGCAGGGGCAAACAGAGCTGGGCTGCCGGGGAGCAGTACTGGAGGCGGTGAACGCACTGTCCCGAGAAGCCCTTCAGACCCAGGGAGGACAGTGCTGCATAGACCGCTGAAGAAAACAAGCCTGCTTCTGGTCATGCACGAAGGGCCACGGATTGCAGTCCACAAAAGCATGAGCGTGCAATACACTGCGCCGTGCGTGACGCTGCCAAGCAAAGCACTGCTCCGAGTTCTTGCATTCTGGGGTGGGCAAAGCACGTTTCATTTTGGCTCTCGTGCTCTGAGCGCGGGTCGTAGCGTGGTTCAAGCGTGCATCACTCTGGTCCTGTCTTCCAGAGTTCAACATGTTCCACATGATCGCCGTGGGGCTGAGCAGCTCCATCCTCGGCTGCCTCCTCACCCTGCTCGTCTACACCTACTGCCAGCGCTACCAGCAGCAGTCCCACGACGCCACCGTCATCCACCCAGTCTCCCCTGCCCCTCTCAACACCAGCATCACCAACCACATCAACAAACTGGACAAGTATGACTCGGTGGAAGCCATCAAGGTAAGGGGTTCGCAGTGGCGGCTGCAGCCAGATGTGCCCTCAAGGCAAGTAGACCCTCAGCATGAGCTGCCTTTACAGCTTTGCTTTGCCTAAGACAAGACGGCGTCGCATGTTGCGTATGTGAGTTTAAAAGGGGGCTCAAAAACGCCAAGAAATAAAATTCTGGAATATACTGGGTCATTGGCCAGAGTGGAACTCCCTGTCCAGAAGCTGTCTATGGCTGGGCAGCAGGAATTAGGGGGTGGCAGGTTCATTCCAGAAATCACAGCCAGAGAAGAAGCTTGGCATTATGATCCAACTGTCCTCACGCATAGTCAAGGCTCGTGCTCCAAGTGGTGGAGGGTGATGGATTTTGTGGATTTTTTTAATATTTATTTATAAGGCACAGTTACAGAGAGGCAGAGAGAGAGGTCTTCCATACATTGATTCACTCCCCTAAAGGCCACAACGGCTTGAGCTTCTTCCAGGTCTCCTACGCAGGTGCAGAGGCCCAAGGACTTGGGCCATCTTTCACTGCTTTCCCAGGCCACAGCAGAGAGCTGGATCAGAAATGGAGCAGCTGGGACTCAAACCAGTGCCCACATGGGATGCTGGCACTGCAGGTGGTGGCTTTACCTGCTACACCACACTACCACCCCATTTTCTCCTTTGTAAATTGGAGATAATGAGAATCAAAAGAGGAAATTTACATTTCTTTGAACCTTGGTGCCATGGCATTTGTCATCAGGGTTACTGATTTGCAGTACATAAGGCCCAGCACTCAGCCAACAGCCACTATTGTTCTCATTGTGCCCACAAGAGGTCAGGGTGGTTTGCAGCTGGCTACAGCCCCTGGAAGGTCTCCTGAGCTAATCTTAGCATTGTGATGTGTTCTTTCACTGCTATGATGGTGAACTCTGGAATTAAATTTCCTTCCCTGGGAAGAATAGGGAATATTCTCAGCCCTCTGACTTCAGCGGGTTAGTATGTCTTGTCTTCTCCCTGCCGTGTGTGTGTATATCCCATGCAGTGTCTTCTTAACCCTGAGCCAGACACCTACCACAGAGTAGGTTTCTAGCCACCTGCTTCTCTCAGAAACTTTGACTAAAGTTCAAGAGTAGACCGAGACATCAGAAAAGCCAGCCTCACTCTAATGTGAGGCAATCAATGGGGGGAAGCAAGAAAAGGACTCAACACATTTAAGAGAAAGGGGAGGGGCCAGCACAGTGGCATAGTGGGTAAAGCCGCTGCCTGCAGTGCCGGCATCCCGTATGGGCACCGGTTTGGGTCCCAGCTGCTCCAGCTCTCTGCTGTGGCCTGGGAAAGCAATGGAAGAAGGCAGACCTCTCTCTCTCCTTCTCTGTATAACTCCGACTTTCAAATAAATAAGTAAATCATTTAAAAAAGAGAGAAAGGGGAACCTCAGAAGAGAGCTCAGATTCAACCAAAGTCTCCTCCTCGTATTCCTTCTGAAATACTACTCCCTGAGGATTCTCAAATTTTTTTCCTAATATTTTACAGGCATTCAACAAAAACAACTTGATCCTAGAGGAAAGAAACAAGTACTTCAACCCCCATCTCACTGGGAAGACCTACTCTAATGCCTACTTTACAGATCTCAACAATTATGATGAGTACTAATAGCTCTTATATTTTTGGCTTCTTGTAAATCCCCAGTTCCTAAAGGCCTGTGCTCCATGACTGCCCCTAATCCTGAGGCTTCAGAGATGAAGTCTGGATACATTTCAAGTATGTTTCCAGCCACAAGTGTCCCATTGTTACCAAAAATACGCATCCTCACCAGCTATGACGTCATGAAAGTCTGGTCTGCTGCTGGCTGAGCCATGGTATGCAGTATTTTCTTGTGTTTGCCCATTTCTCCAAACAACTCCATGGTTTCCTTGGGCTTTGTTTTTGTTCCAGAGATGGGGAGGGATCTTATGAAATGCAATTGTCCTCTTGCTTTTGAGTGTAAACCTTCATGATTTTTTAGTTCAAGAAAATAGGCACTTTATCTGAGAGCCCCCTTCCCTCCACCAGGGCCATGGTGTTTGAGTCAATGAAGACAGTGTGGCCCAACAGTTCTTTCCCAGGGAGCTCCCATTCCCCCCACTGGGACAGTACTGTGGATTCTTGGAAGCATTTGCATTTGGACTTGGAATGATTCTGGTCCGGGAAGCCCAGAGTTTCCACCGGACCTGCACCTGCGGAGGTGAAGGTCACCTGTGAGGCCTGCACCTTGGTCTGGAGGCAGTGCCGGTGCCTTCATGGAGGAGGTGTGTGTGCAGAGCAGAGGTGCAGCCCCACTGCGACACAGCCGTGCTCTGCCTCACGGCGACTGTGGATTTCGTGGCATTCATGTGAGCTCCTTGCCAGGAACCTCACCTGTCTGGGCTATAGTGGCGTCCCGAAGAGCCAGTCTGCAAAATAACCGCTTCAATACATCCTTGCCGCCCATCTCCCTGCAAAGAAAAACCGTGCACATTTGTGACACCAACGAGGGAAACTATCCCAGTACCGAACTAGAACCGAACATTAATTCTCCGAGCTATGGAAAGTATGAAAGAACTGACATTTCATGAGAAGCAGTGTTTTGTTTTCCATCTCCCGGATGTAATTCATGTGTGGCAATCAGCCCCTTCCAAGAGCATTAATGAGACATGAACCTGGCTCTCTGGAGCCTGTTGTTTTCCACACTGAAGCTGCCCTAGTGCCACGGGGCCACTTGCTGCCTCCAGGCCAGGGGCGGAGTCTGCTTAGCTCTGGTGCCTTTTCCTTTATCTCAGTGCTGCCTTCCTGCCCATCCAGTCCCTCCCAACCCCACCTGCTGTCCACCCAATCTGTCCAACCCCACTTCTCCCTGCAAGGAGGCCAGAGAAGTTCAAGACACACCTAAGAAGCTGCAGATGCTGAAGTTGAGGTTTTTAATGGTCCCAGAGGTCTCAGCCTTGAACCTTAATCAGCATTTCAGGCGTTGTGAGACCATTCAGAGAGGCCTTCAGAACAAAAGACAAATTACTCCCAAACAACTGGTACTCAGCAAATAGACATTTGGTCCAATAATTATCAAAAGCGAGAATGAGATTGTAAGTGTTCCCATGATGCCTCTGGGCTCTGATAGAGGCCTGGGGAATCACCAAAACCACGTCCTGACCGGTTTGGCACCTGCAGTCCTGCCAACACATGTAGTGGGAGCACTGAGGAGTGCAGGATTCTGTCAGCATTTGTGTTTTCACCCTGTTCCATTAAAAAAAAATCAGAAAGTGCTGGAAAAATCCTGTCCCCAATGAATAGTTCAACATTTACCCAAATTTGCAGAAAGGACTCTTTAAAGATTAAAACGGCAGGTGGGGTGTGGGAGGCAGATGGCTGGCACGCAGCGTCTCCGTGTCCGCCTCCTGCAAGGCTTACTCACAGTGGAAGCCACCTCTGCCACGTCCACGGACTCCCGGGCCACGTTTGGTGGCCAAGGCTCGGCAGCTGCCTTCCTCCTGGTTCCTGGGCTGGACTTCGCATGCTTCAGCCCCTTTCTTTCCTAGAGGAAGAAACATCCTCACCGTGTACTGCATTTGAGCTGTTGTAGAAATTACGCCCCCACCCCCAGCATTCTGTAAGTGAAAAGGTCGTTTTGTTTCCTCTGGGAAAGGATAGCGTCACGGGACTTGGTAGGAAATGCTGGCTAAGGATCTCACGCAGTGTTTGCAGTGAGTGGGGCACTCAACCCCAGCGCAGAATTGCCTCATGATGACAACAGGGGCCTCACCTGTGTTTGTGCTCCAACACTGTGTTCAAACGGGAATTGTTTCTCTTTATCTCACAGCATAGCAGTTCGTTTAGAATAATTTCATGTATGCTCCACGTGGGTTACTTAGCTTAACAGCATGACTTCTGTTTTCCACTGCAAAGCTTTCACTCCCACGCATCTGCTTCATACTGCAGACTTCCTGGCACACGAACCCTCCTGTGGTGGGACCACAGGGGCTCCTGGGGGAAACCGTGGTCAGATCGGGTTCATGGGGGCTCTCCCAGTGAGCTCCATGATGGGCTCAGCCACAGGACGCCCCCCTCCAGAGAAGCCTACCTACAAAGCAGGGGCTTTCCTGCTTGTATGGGACCTGTGAGTCCCATTTAGCGTTTCTGAGTTTCTGTATTCCCTCTCTCTTTCTGCACAAGCAACACAAGGAGACACTAATATTTTTAGGCTGCACCTCTTGGAACCTGATTTAACCTGAATAGAGTTGACCTTTGGTTTCCATCAGGGAGCCTTCTTCCTTTGTAGATGTCAGTGCCTCCCAGTTTCTCCAGTGCTTGTTCCGCCATCAGTCCTGTAGGAAGAGCAGAATTCTACCTGTGGACACTGCACGGCCTCCCCAAGGGCTCCAGGGACAAGAATCTGGATGGGGGGGGGGTTGCTTTATGCCTCCTGAATGAAATTCAGTGAACTCCAGGAAACTGAGGGCACTAGAACTGGCTGGGTGGAAAAGCCACAGTCCGCAGACTCCCTTCTCACTCCAGGACATCTCTGTGTCACTGCCCCTTCAAAACAAGGCACTGAAATTCCCCTGCTGCCGGAGGTTTCAAAACCTGCTCCAGTAGACAACGAAAAGCATTAACATGGGCCAGAGTAAACCAGGGCTTCGTGTGTGTGCGTGTGCGTGTGCGTGCGTGTGCGTGTGCGTGTGGGATTCCAAAGGCAGTGAAGAGCAGGCACAGTGAACGGGCTGAGGGCATCTTTGCCCTGGAGAAGCCTCTGTCCTTAGGAAGCACTGGAGTAAACACAGAGTCTGGGCTGGACGATACCAGAGAGAAGAAAATGGGTGAAATGGCCAGATAAGCAGGTGACTTGACAAAGTGGTCACGCCTAAGCAAGTGGGGTGTGGGGGGCAGGGGCACAGGCCATCACCCTCATGCCCTGTCCTCTGAGCCTGACCCTTGGACTCTTCCAGCATACAAGACTTGTAGCCAAGGGTGTTCTTATTTCCTTATTTTTCTGCCAAAATAAAAATCACGGGAGTCAAAACCTATTTGAGTAGTTACATCAGAGTCTTCGGCAGAACTATCAGGTCTCACATTCAAAATCTTGGACAAAGCTCGGGGGTGTCCCTGGCCCGAAGATCCCACCTAAGGGGATAAATTATAATTGAAGATCAAAAGAAGTTTTACCTTAAGACTAGATCAGTTCTACACGAGCTAATTGTTTCGTCTGAACACAGCTTGTTTGAATTTACAGAGGTCTTTATGCTGCTTTACTTGGTCTTCGTTTTTCTTGGTTTTAGAATAAATCATCAGTGTTTCCCCAACACTGCCAGGCTCCTTTTTCCTCAACACTGCTCCAGGGAAAGCAGCCGTCTTTAGCCTCAGTGCGTCCTTTACCCATCAGTGGGGCTTGGCTTTGAGGAGTTTAGGGTGACTCCATTGAGTTTCTCCCAAAGGGGCTATCCAGAGCCACAGAGACCGATGTTTGGTACCACAAGGTGCATGTGAGAACAGCCATTTTCCAAGTGACAGGACTGTGCCTAGGTCTCAGAGCCTCAACAACCGACTCCCATGGAGATATCAGATTAAAATGCTAACTTTAAACCAACTCACTGGCAAAACCTTTGCCATTCTCTTTCACAGACAGCATTGGTCACGCCCAGCTGCTTCCGTCATCCTCACTTCCTCACTGCGCCGTGACACACCAGGAAATTTACGCTGGCTTTTCAGTATTCAGTTACCTAGGGTGCTCTGAACTCAGACACTAAAAGCCATTCTGAGCACTTTACGTCTTTGGACAACGGTGTGAGAGGGGAGACTGTAAAGTAACGCTCACTTTGACCCAAAAAAGGCACAAAGTAGAATGCCAGGCACAACACAGTACCATGTAAGATAAAATATTTAGAAACCAGGGCCAGTATGGACTTCATGTCTGATTTTCTTCTCCTGATGCCACTGATTTAAAGATGTTTTGTAACTACAAATACTGAGCCAAGGAATTCCGGTTATCTCCAGATAACCTAATAAAAATATTTTACTTTAATCTTTCTTTTCTCTTTTGGAAATTGCAAAGTAAAAAAAAAGATGAAACATGCGATTATTGGTAGTGATTAAAAAATGATTACGGAATTACATTAAAGAGGCATCATATATATTTTTAGGCAGATGGGTGAAAATTTTGCTCAGTGGTCACATTTCAAAAAATATCAGGAGTGGAGACCTGTTCTCTTTGAAAATGCAGTTCCCACTGCAACATCACTTATGCCAGATGCAGAGCCTGACACAAAGCGGACAGTCCCCAGTAAAGCTGCCTCCTACAGTCTTTTAGAAAGACCATATTCTCCCTTAGAAGTCAGCCAAGCTTCTACTCAGAGTCAATGCCATTCTTGCTCAAGAAAACCTATTGTACTGTTGATACAAAGAACGTAACTAGTCTAGGACACTTTGAGAGCTGGAAGGAGAAAATCGCCTGGTGGCATTTCTTACACTAAATCACAGGTCAGGAAAGGAAACGTATGCCACCTCTTCATCTTTAGTCAGAAATGCGAGGCCAGCAGTTCAGATACTATCCTTTCCCTTCTCAGCTTTCTGACAACTTAGTGCCAAAGTGGCCCAAATGTTAGCTGGATTATAGGAATAAAATAGTTTAAATGTTAGGTAAGTATGTGGGGACTTCAAAATTTTTACAGAAAAATAGAATGCAAAGATAACGCACATGTTCCATGAGCTATCTGAAGTGCCTAGTGCAAGTAGAAATTTGGAGAAATCTATCCTTTTGTTGCAAAAAAGAACATTGTTAGCTTCCCTCCATGTGAATGTGAATGGTTTAGTTTCCTGCACAAGTCCCCCGTGTCTTGCCGAAGATGATGCTGTACCATTTCACCTGAGTATTACCAAGTCCAATTAAAGTCGGAGGATTGATTGGCTACACTCTAAAGAAAAGTGTTCTGTTTGCCTCTCTGAACTCAGGAATCACCAAAAAGCACACCACCTTCACATGTGACTTTGCCCCCACGGGGGACCTAGCTATGGATCAGGTGCACAGGTGTGTTTAGAATTGACGTTAGGCCAGTCTCAGCCTTCCAGAAATGCATCACTCTAGTTCCTACATCTTCCACAAAATACCCTCAAGTTCCGTATTAAGAACCACTGTAGAAGTTAGAGAGTTTTGTTTCTGTTTCCCTTCAGGCAAGTCCATAGGCAGAGAAATGACACATGGCAGGTATGGTGAGTGTGGGAGGAGAACCACCAAAATCACCTTATTTTAACCTTCAGAAGTCAGTGTCAAAACTTGAATTGCTCCACAAGTTCGCAAAAGGTGTTGATCTTAATGTGGGCTGGAAATACAGCAGTGTGTTCTCTGGAAAAGCCAACTGCCTTTCCCTTATGACTATGGGATGAAATCAAGCTTCAACCTCCACACCTGGAAAGCACAGTATGACCCTTCTGCCCATGCACCTAGACCAGCCATGAGACTGTCACCTGTGGTCCAATGATTTCTCAAAACCATGTAGCAAACTTTGCGTCATGCCACTCGAAACCACTTTTGATGTTATGAAATGTTATATGCCTCATTCTGTGTTTATTTGCTGTTGCTTGTTTTGTGATACAAAATAAACTTATTTGGGATTGTTTCTATTTTTAAATTTATTGAACCATCTCCAACTTCTGACCCTGGTTAACTTGTAGAAAGTTACTGAACCTCAAAATAACTTTCCAAATGCACCATAATTGGAGTGTTTTTTACAATGATACAAGTTTCCTTTCCCCTCTCATTTTAATGACAACATGGAACACTCGTTGCTCAGTGGGATCCTCATGTTTTGCTGGGCAAGTCCCCAAGGGGCCACTGGGTGTGCCATGTTTTAGGTTTTTTTGATCTCAGTATTTGTGAAGATTTCCTTTGAAGTCCTCTTGGTAGACATTTGCAATAGAAACTTCCCATGGTCCTCTCAAATGCTCCCCGAGAGCCGTCCAAGTCCTTGTCTCAGATTACTGCTTTCTGAAATCTGCCAGATAACCTTGTTTTCAGAGATCAGCTCAAGACATTAATGATGGCAACATGGGCAAGGGGTTGTTTTTCTGCTGTGTTGGGTTAATTATGGAAGTTCAGAGGAACCATGGGCAGTAGGGTTACCAATCCATCAGTGCAAACTAAATCACACCTGTCCCTAACCTCAACTCTGGGGAAAACAGATTTAGAAGACGACATTAGTTATCATTACGAAAGTGAAAATACCATGCTCAGCCACTGCTCTTGAGGCACTGCCAATGACTCCGCCTCCACCCTGTTCATCTTCTGTACACAGTGCATCAAGACTGACAGAACTGCTCAGAGTCCCCACACTCATCCTCTCAGAGCAAACCCTCCTCACCATCTCTATCTGCCAACATTCTTCGGAGAACAAAATAAGAGAACCTTGATTATGTACAGTATAAATTGTATTATATTTTTTGTACTTATGTTTCATGTAAATAGTTTGTCCCTTTCAGTTGTATGTGAGCATTGAAATAAATCCTACTACTTAGGAAACAAATTAGTGGCATTTTTCTTTGCATAGCATAGCCTCCAAGTGTTCTGTCTCCCAAGACATGCTGCACTGAAGGAGTTGGTTTCATCTGAGTGAGACCATGGACAAACTTTCAGCTACATGCAGAAGACTCGTTTGATCTTAAGATCTTTGGACCATTTGAGTGGTGGCAAAGAGAAGACCAAAGTGCTCCAGGATGATGGAGAAAAGAACTTTTAGAAACATCTCCAGGCCGGCGCCGCGGCTCACTAGGCTAATCCTCTGCCTTGCGGCGCCGGCACACCGGGTTCTAGTCCCGGTCGGGGCGCCAGATTCTGTCCCGGTTGCCCCTCTTCCAGGCCAGCTCTCTGCTGTGGCCAGGGAGTGCAGTGGAGGATGGCCCAGGTGCTTGGGCCCTGCACCCCATGGGAGACCAGGAAAAGCACCTGGCTCCTGGCTCCTGCCATCGGATCAGCGCGGTGCGCCGGCCGCAGCGCGCCGGCCGCAGCGCGCCGGCCGCGGCGGCCATTGGAGGGTGAACCAACGGCAAAGGAAGACCTTTCTCTCTGTCTCTCTCTCTCACTGTCCACTCTACCTGTCAAAAAAAAAAAAAAAAAAAAAAAAAAGAAACATCTCCACAAGTAACCAGAAATGCATGGCAAGGAAAGCCCATTAAACTACCCAGTTACAAGGAGTTGGTGTCAGGTCCTGTTGATGAATGTTATTCTAGTTGTACTACACCCACATTCTCTTCAGCACACCTTATCTGATTCTTTGCAGACATAAAAGCTATTCCAGTGACTTCTTGGTATAGTGGGCATGAATACAACTCTGGAAAATCAATCTACTGAATGAAGGCATATTTCAATATTCATTATTTCATTACAGGCACATGTATATGTGTAAATATATTTTTGGTGTATACATTTGTGTGTGTATATATATATATACACATATGACTAAACTACAAGTTGAAAATGTCCATTAAATATGGAGGCCAAAAATTAACAATGAAATTAAAGTATGCAAATATGTACACTAGTAAAACATGTTATAAAGGTCAAACTAATTTTTACTACGAACTGGTGAATTACTAAACTGTTAAAGTATTCTGAGAAGAACATGTTATGTGCCTGTTAGTTAAGAAAATGAGGGGTCTGGCACTGTGGTACAGTGGGTTAAAGCCATGGCCTGCACTGCCAGCATTGCATATGGACACCAGTTCTAGTCCTGGCTGCTCCTCTTTCAAGCCAGCTCCCTGCTAAAGGAAAAAAAAAATTGCCTGGGAAAGAAGTGGATAATAGCCCAAGTCCTTAGGCCTCTGCACCCATGTGGGAGACCTGGAAGAAGCTCCTGGCTCCTGGCTGTGGATCAGCTCAGCTCTGGCCATTGCAGTCATTTTGGGAGTGAACCAGTGGATGAAAGACCTCTCTCTGTCTCCTCTCCTCTTCTTCTCTCCCCACCACCCCTACCTCTCTCTGGAACTCTGTCATTGAAACAAATAAAATAAATCTTAAAAAAAAAAAAAAAGGAGGACATGGAAAAACAAAGAAATGCCAGTAGATCAAAAACAAACAAAAAAAAAAACAAAAAGAATGAGGTTTTGTACCATGTTTTTTCTCTAATATTTTTCTGAATCTCTGTGTTCATGGTAATATATCTTCCGAATTTTAGATAGTCTCACACAATGCCCATATATCTCAGTTCTCTTACTCTTTAGGAGCCTTTATTTGCTCCTAAAATATAAAATTGAAATGTTGATTTTCTTTCTGGAAGTAGGCATTTGGCACAGGGGGTGTGGGACACCCACATCTCACTTTGGACTGCCTGGGTTTGAGTCCCAACGCTACTTCCAAGTCCAACTTCATGCTATTGTGCATCCGGGGGTCAGCAAGTGATGGCTCATGTAGTGGAGTTCCTGTCGCCAGAACAGGAGACTGGAGTCAGTTTCTGGCTCCTGGCTTCCACCTGACTGAGTAACAATTAAGTGTGCATTCGGGGAGTAAACCAGCCAGTAGATGGGAGACCTCTGCCTCTCCTGTCTTTGTCTCTCTTTCTTCATTTCAAATAAAATTAATTTTAAAATTTCAGTTTCTTTCCAGACCTGTTTAAAACATATAACTGGCCATTGAAAATATCCCTTCAAGCCCAGTATATGAAGTAGAGCAGCAGTGATTGAGTGTTCTGACTCCACAACTGCAGCAGGAGGTTGTCCTTGAAGTATCTGGAACAGGAGCCCGTCCTGCCTTTGTGACGTGGTCTCCGATTCATCTACTCCAAGTGCGTTTTCCCCAGAAGCACTTGAAGCCCTTGCCTCACCCCTGTACTCACAGCGAGTCAGAACTGGAACCAGCAAGATCACCGTAGCTCAGGAGAAAAGAAAGCTCCAAGATGACCCTTAACAATCCTTCCTCACACAGTGCACAGGAACTGTAAGTCTGTCTCTAGGTCCAGAAAGTGCTGTTAATATTTTGAAAATGGCTCCTACCATAGAACATGGAGAAAAATGCTGAATTATTTTTTTTCTTAGTCTTTATGTGGGCTCAAGCCTATTAAGGCAGACTTTCAGTGATCGATTCATGGGCCACGTTTCCAAGTGAAGCATGGTGAAGGTATCAACATCGGCTTACTTTTCCTGTCTCCTCTCTTGCAACCCAGAGCTGCTCTGTGACACTTCCTGTGTTCTGCCAGTAGATGCATCTCTTTGCGCCTCTTCTAAGGCCTGCTGCCCCCTAGTGGGCAGGCTGCACCGAGAGAAGGATGGTGGTGGGAGCAACATGTCTCCTGGAACAGATCCATGGTGACCATGGTGGAATGGGCATTCAGGGACTGGATCTGACGTAGCTCCACAGCTCCCAGGGCTCCTTCACCCAGTGTCACAGCATGTGCCCTCCTCCCTTTGACCACCCAAATGGTTGCCTGCCTTTCTTTTCTTTCTAGCTTAGACCCTCAGAACTCTGTGTTTTATGGAATAATGCAGTTATCTTAAGTCCCCTTATTCTACAGAGGAGGGAAGGACACCCTAAAGACCACAAGCAAGGATGGGGGCAGCTTGGCAACTCCCTATCAGCAGAGTTCTGCTCACCTGGAAGACCTAAGTGAACTTCAGATTCCTGCCTGAGAAAATCAGTGACATCTTCAGTCTCCACAAGGCCTTTAGAAAGTGTTCCCTAACCAGCTCCCTCTGCTCCGGTATGTGCCTGGTTCTGCATTTAGGAGGCTGTACCATTCTTCTGGGATCTGAAGATAACTGGGAGGCAGATAAGGCAGAGTAAGACATCCGTGTGCTCACAGACACCTGGAAAGCCTCCAGTATTCCACAGCTATGCTAAGAGATGGGGACGTGATGATGGAGGGCACGGCTCATGCTCTGTGTCTGTTCCCTCAGCATCTCCAGCTTCTAAGATGAAGTTTATGGAAGAAATGCATAGGATGGGAGAGGGCGTAACAAAGTTCCCAATAGACACTCAGTTAACCTGAAGGTCAACTAACCCCCCCCCATTTGGTGTCAGTTTAAGAAACGGTGCCAAGCTTTGCTTTCAGCCTCATCTCTCCACACCCAGCTGCGTATTCCTCATTTTCCATCCCCCCCCCCAAAAAAAAGACGAATCAATTACGCTGCTTCCTGAGAACAGAAAACGTGATGCTAACCAGTCTTGGCGAGCCATTCTCAGAATGAGAAGTACTTGTCCCTATTAGATGGTGTCCTCTCACACATCTTGGCTGTTATAGTTCAACAACGTAATCATGGACACATGTCCTACATATCCTAAGCTTGGATGACTGAGGTTGAGACCCACCATGTTATGCCAATTCATCCCCCAAACAGGGAAAATGCTCATCTTGTTTGAAGAAAACGATTTTCAGCAGCAGTTATGCAGGCAGGGAATAAGCCCATTACAATTAAACATTGCCAGTCACCAACAAGGTTTTATAACAGGGCATAAATTTGGGCTTGTCATTCTCTGGTAGGCAGTACTGTCACTTGTACTTGAAACTGGACCATAATTCTTTGGAAGGGTTCATTAAATTGGGCATTTGGCGGAGGCAGAGGAGAGGTATGTGCATCACAAAGACTGCTGTGCTCTGCCTGAACACCTGATAAACTCAGGAACCAGGAAGAC